GCACACATCTCAGACGTTTAAGGTGCCGAAAAATCCATTTTCAATCATGGCTGAGCGCTTTAGTTTTGAGAAGTTTAGTTCAGGTATAATTGAATGTTTAAAATTTCTAACTAATGAATGAATGAATGAATAAATAAATGAATGAACGAATGAATGAACGAATGAATTCATTTAAAAGATAAATGTCATCTTTGACAAAAAGAGTTTGAGTTGTAATTCATGGCCGATCAGTGCATACCCTGTAAAATATACATATACATAAAAAATATACATATTTTTTTTAAGCTGTTTGGACAGAACTGTAACTGTAATCCAACTGCTTGGGTCTACACACAAGCTGTGCTTTCATCACAGGGAAATGGAAACAAAACCTTCATTGCGGCACATTTAAAAATGCAACACTAATGACCCATGTCAACAATTCTTCTTCTATTTGTTTAAATTCTTGTTGGCAACACATAGTGGTGTGTCTCTGAACACTGTAACACGTAAAAAGTGTTCGAAGCTATATTATGAATATTAATGAAGTTGCATCTCGTTCACAATAAAACACGCTGATTGGTTTGAACCAAGTCCTTCTCATGAACTAATGAACAGATGTGCTGAAAACTCAATGACGTCACTTTGTACCACTTTTTGTCTCCACGCTGGAATTTACACAATGACCTCAACGCTGTGACGTTGCTTCAGAATTTCTTTTTAAACAAGAAGAACAAATTTGCTCTAAACAACACAAAAACAACCAATTTTCACTTGTTAGCTATATATATATATATATATATATATATATATATATATATATATATATATATATATATATATATATATATATATATATATATATATATATATATATATATATATATATATATATATATATATATATATATATATATATATATATATATATATATATATATATATATATATATATATATATATATATATATATATATATATATATATATATATATATATATATATATATATATATATATATATATATATATATATATATATATATATAGATATATATATATATATATATATATATA